ATCCTTTCTTTGGTATTCCTAAATAACTAAAAAGAAACCCATGAAAATTAGCAATAGTTTTACTCATACCTAAATCACTCTAGTTTGGTACTTGATAAAACAAAACAAGCTGTTTTCTTAACTGGGTCGAGAAAAATACTATTTTTGAGCCACCAAAAGTCACTTCAGTGTGACAATAATTGTTCTGATGTTTATCTTAGACTCTGCATGAGTGATTTTTCCCTTGATGCTAATCCCATTAGATGTAGAATGGGCTGAAGTCTTTCAACCTCTGTTTCTTTTTCAATTTTTCAATTGACTTGTAGTTTAATATCAGGTGCCATTTCACAAATGGCCAGATTGCATAGTAAAATAATTTAGGGAAAGAGGGGGAAAAATGACTTTTCACCTGTTTCTAAACTTTTTTCTATATTCAGAAATATTTCTTAAACTGTAGAATAACCAAAAAATATTGTATACATAACAGACAAAAAGACTAAGAAAAAAGAAAAATGCAGAGCATACCAGACTTACTTGAAAGATAATCTTTTTATTGGGACTTCACCTCCCTGCTCCCTGCCTCTCTAGGGAACTGTTACACATCATTCTTTGTTCTGTGAAAGGAATGCCTGCACTGGTACAAAGTGCTCTGTCTTGGAACTCAATGTCTTGATCTTAGAAGCTTGAATGAGTAAGGACTATCACCTAGGGGGGTCTGGTCTGACTGGACTATGAACTAAGAGTTCTTGATCCTTTCAAATATTTGGAAGGAGGGGATAAGTCCTCCCTTGGAGCTTCTCCAACACCCATTACTATATTTAGCTCGTTTCTATGGGCCCAGAGTCCTAGTGTGGTGTTGTAGGATAAGCACTGGACTGCAAACCACAAGGTTGGTAGTTCAAACCCATCGGCCACTTCTCAAGCATTAAGAGTTGGAACTGACTCAACAGCACTTAACAACTAACAGCAACAAATATGTGAAAATTTCTTCTTATACCCATTTACCCATTTTCATCAAATCCATTCCTAAAGGCAGCCTTATTTTTGAAAAGCAGAAAAATAAAATATTCATACTCATTGTCTGACTCTAAGTTTGTACAAAAATAATGATTTCTATGCATCATAGATAAAAATGTCATGTTTCACAAAAATGATTTCTGACCAAGCCTCACTCAATCCCTGATCATGTGGGAAGGTTCTAATTTAAAGCAACTAGAAAACAGCTGTGTGCCGTTGAGTCAGATTCCAACTCATAGTGACTCTGTGTAGGGTTCCTGAAGCTGCAGATCTTTAGGAGCAGAATGCCTGTTTCTCCAGAGGAACAGTTGGTGGGTTTGAACTGCTGGTGTGCAGTTAGCAGTCCAGTGCTTACCCTACAGTGCCACATCTAATGTTACATTTAAATTCAGAACAAACCCACCAGCCACTCCTCAGAAACCCTATACAGGGTCATTATGCATCGAAACCAGCTCCACACCTCACAACAACAGCAGTGTGTAAGTGGCTCTTAGCAAAGACCATCAATGGCAGCTAACATTATAGACAGTTATACGTGAAACATACATCTTGGTGTCCCTGGGTGGTACAAACGGTTAAATGTTCAGCTAGCTGCTAATCAAAGTTGGGAGGTTCCAGTCCATACCAGAAGTAACTACGTCCAAAAAATCAGCCATTCATTACAAACCCTATGAGTACAGTTCTATTCTGACAGACACGGCAACTGCTTTTAATATACAAATACTCTTGGCCTCAACTGAAAGCGGAAAGGTGATTTTCCCCCTTAGAGAACATCTCACAATGTTGAGGGGCATTTTGGATTGCCACACTATAGGATGTTGCTGCATCTGGTGGGCTCAGGAAAATTGCTAAACATCCTATAATCCACAGCCACTACTGCAGAGAAATCCTGCTTTATATGTAGCAACCAGAAGAATATGTTACAGGACATCAGGGGCTACAACCAACAAAATCTAGATTATAGAAAACTCCAGGAAAGGTGACCCAGTAGGAATGCCTACAAGGGGACTTCAAAACATTTGTGAAAAAATGCCATTACATTTCAATTCCATTTTTCCATAAACTTTTTTAAGATCTCACATATAATGCAAGAAAAAATAAAATAAAATAGAGGTAAATACACACGTTGAAAGACTTAAATGACTTATTCACCAACTCTAACCTATAGACTTCACTTGGATTTTTATTCAAACAATCAGATTTTTTAAATAGTATCAAGACAATGGGGAATTAAAATTGACTGCATATAAAGAACAGCTGTTAAATTTTAGGTTAACAGACCTCATATTTTAGAAATAAATTTATAGATGGATTTATATGTATCTGAGAACTGTGTCAGAATACAGAGATACAGCTAAAACAGGATTCGGTACAAGTTGTTAATTTACGTAACTGACTGATAAGCATCAAAGGGTTCATATATACATAAGACAGAAGTTTAAGTTAAGCATATAAGAGATAAATTTTTTATAATAAGGCTGAGAACACTAACTTTCTAAAATATTAACTATGCGACCATCAGGTAAAAACATTCTGTAAACATCTGGTGTGGCACTGCAGGACAAGAACTGGACCACAGGTTGGTTTGAACTCCAAGGTCAGTGGTTCAAACTCACCAGCTGCTCCTTGGAAACCCTATACAAGGTCACTGTGAGTCAAAATTGACTCAACAGCACTTACCAACAACAACAAGATTGCTAAAGAAAAAGATTCCAAGAATTGGGCATAAGGCTTGGCCCTAACTTAAAATCCTGGCTCCACCCTTACTTCTTTATAATCTTTAGAACTTCTGTAAAGCGAGTATGGTCATCATACTATCTACATCATATCTTACATCATATTTACTACATCACTGTTAGCGATGTGAAAATTGCAAAAGATCTTGGTTGGTGCTCACTTCCCACAGTAGCTTCAAAACAAATAACAAAAGTAACATGGGGCAAGTCTTGTCCCCCTCCTTGCCTCTTATACTGGAGCAATTTAAGGACTTTGACTCAAGCCATTCATTGCCTTCTTGCTACAACCAGAAAATCAAAGCAATAATGAGGAAATGTGTGGTGCTGTGGGTTACTGTGTTGGACTGAAAAGTTAGTTTGGATCCCAGGGTCGGAGGTTCAAGCTCACCAGCCACTCCTTGGAAACCCAATACAGGGTTTGCTATGAGTTGAAACCAACTCAACAGCACTTAACAACAACAACAAAGATTCTACAGATAATGTATACATCTCATTTTCCTTTCTTAACAGATCCTTATTTCACTAATTCATTGTACTTTGGGGGAGAAAATTTTCAGCCCAAACATTTTATACAGCTTACTTCCTTTCCTTCATTCCTTTTTATAACAGCTGTTTACTCATATCCTGCCAGGTTTTTTTCTGGAAGCCCCATTGGCAAAGCTGTGAGGCTGTTGTACCAGTGACTTTAGACTTGGCTGCAGAGCATTCACATGGAAAAAATCCAAACAGTCTGTTTCGGTTGCCTTTTATTTTCCCCAAAGCAGCATTTCTTTCAGTCTTGTTGCATTTGCAATAAAGCATTCATCTTTATCCACTTGTGAATAAGGGATAAAGACACAGACTATTGGCTGGTGGCACAGGTCTCTGGTTCCCTCTAAGACCTTCCCCTTTCTCTAAATAAAGCCTTCCACCAATCACCAGATTGGAAAACAGAAAATGGGTTGAAGCCTAGCTCTGCCATTCATTGTATAGCCTTGAAGGAGCCCTTCTTCTCTGAAGGTATAATAATACCTGACCTATTGTCTTCAATAGGAATCCTGGTGTGGTGATGTGGGTTAATGCGCTAGACTGCAAAGTCAGTTTGAACCACAAGGTCGGTGGTTCAAGCTCACCAGCCTCTCCTTGGAAACCCTATACAGGGTTTGCTAGAGTCAGTTCCAACTGGCTCTATAGCACTAACAACAATTGTCTTCAAGGAGCTCTGGTAGCGTAGTGGTTATGAGTCGGGCTGCCAATCTCAAGGTCAGCAGTTTGAAACTACCAGCCATTCTGCAGAAGAAAGATGAGGCTCTCTGCTCCTGTAAAGATTTACAGCCTTGGAAACTCTATGCAGGGTCATAATGAATCGAAACCAACTCCATGGCATACCACCATCATTGTCTTCAAATACGCTAATGATAACTGGAATTTATCATTTGCAGTTTTACAAAATATATGCAGTAATAAAGGCTCTATGGCTTGCTATCTATTTCTCCCTAAGTATTGAAAGATTCATGACTGTCTCTTCAACCAATCTGTGACATCCAGACACCCACTCATACTAACTGACCCTGTATATAGTTTCTAAGACTATAAATCTTTTGGGAACAGAAATTCTCATCTTTTTCTTGCAGAGCAGCTAGTGGGTTTGAAGTGCCGACCTTGCGGTTAGCACTGCCTATCCTATAGTGACACTAGAGCTCCAAGACACCCACTACCATCTCTAAAACTGCCAGCACTGTGACTACATTCATAATGTAATTTCCAGTGTGAAGTGAGATTCAAATTGAAACCAATGTAATCTCCTTCAAACATTTAAACTGAAAGTTACACCAAAGTAATCTGGAAAATATGGAGTCCATAAATTGGCACCGTAGGATAAACACTGGACTACTAATGGCAAGGTCTGCAGCCGATCCTCAGAAATGACTGGATGGCATTTAATAACAGTAGAAAAACCAATGAGAAATTTTACCTAGAAATTTACCACAGCAATGTAATAAAAGTTAAAATTGGAGTCTATATTAACATTAAAAGTTCCTCACTTGAAAAAAACAACAAAAACAACCAGAAATTTGTGCTAGGGCAGGACACACTTAGCATGTCTTGCTAAAAATAGACTTCTGTCAGAACATCACCCCTAATCCACAAAAGAATCTGCCACGAGATTTCAATAACAAAAGGCATATTGTAGACATCGCTGTCCATCAACAAATCTAACAAATTGATTAAAATGCCACAGTGACAAGGGTGAAACAAAATACAGTGCAGAGACTGAAATCAACTCACGGCAGTCTTTCTCATCAGCTCCGTCTGAGCAGTCCCTGACATGGTCGCACCTGTATTCACGTGGGATACACCGACCATCGGAGCATGTTATCTGATGGCTTGAGCATGTGCTCCCAGCTGTGAAGGAGAAAAAAGATTACTTATAATTACTTCCAAAAACAAACCATTAGACAGGCATCTACCAAATATCGATGAGGATATCTGAAGGGCAAGGAGAGTCCTTGAACATAGAGTTGTTCAGGGCATAAGATGAAATTAAGCACAAGGTAAAATGTACACTTGTTGTTGTGTGCCGTGGAGTCGGTTCCGACTCATAACGACCCTGTACAGGGTTTCCGAGGCTGTAAACCTTTACGGGAGCAGAAAGCCTCATCTTTCTCCCGTGGAACAGCCGGTAGTTTCGAACTGCTGACCTTACAGCTCGCAGCCCGATTCGTAACCACTACACTGCCAGAGCTATATATAATCTTATAGTGCAACAGTAAAGGTATTATTACAATGCCCACAGAATAGCCTCAGCACTATAATATCCTAACAACTCAAAGATGTTAGTTTTGATTTTGAATGATGTATTATCAGCATGTGTTAAGAATGCAATATAGACTGAAACACTAGATTGTAAAGAGGATGAATGCAATAAGAATTTTTCAGAAATAAGCATTGATCCAGGATCTGCAGATACAGGTATTCGACGAAGATAGGCCTTTCTCATTGAAATCTCACTTTAAACAAGAAGATAATTTGACAAATGATAACAGTGATTCCTGATTAATGGGATTGTGTAATTATGCCAATAAATTTTATAAACAGGAAAATAAATATTTTTAAGTGAAAGAAAGTAGAGTCTCTATAGTTTATCAAGTGTGCCTACTGATAAATGGATTAAACCAATGAATTAACCCTATAAAAATGATGTGAAAACTCTTCTGCAAGGAATTACCAGGATTTGGTTGCTTTTAACTTTTTATTGCGAGTTGAATGATGGTGTACAGACAAGATCAACTTTACATCCAACAAATTATACACTCAATTATTACAATTCCCTCCATGCAGCACCATTTGTCTCACTTCCTCCCTGTGATTCCTGTTTGCATCCTACCCACCTTCTCATCCTTCCCCATAACTCTACAGACTGCTTGGCTGAAAACTGTGCTAAGAGGGTGAGTTCCTTTTCAGACCTTGGGTGGTCAAGGGCCATAACCTCAGGTTCCTCCAGTCTCTTTCTGACACCAGTAAACCTGGTCTTTTTTTAAATTTTTATTAAATAATTTTGAGTTTACTTCCACATTTTCTCCCATTCTACCCGGAACCCTCTAATGTGTGATTCCTTTCAGAGCAGTTGGTAGATAGCCAGGTACCATCTAATTCTTCTAGTCTCAGAGTCATGCAGACTGATGTTCACATGCTCCATGAGTCCACTGGACTAACTGATTCCAAGTCACTTCAATTCTCACTCTTCTTTCTTCCACACATGAAGAGATGAATAGCTGCACCTTAGATGGCCACTCATGAGCTTTCAAGATCCCAGACACTACTCAACCAAAGTAGAATATTGTCTTGTGGACTGTGTTACTTGGTAGCTATATATTATCATGAGATATTGAATTGTCCACATGAGAAGAGAAACATTTGGAGAAACGTGATCCTCTAAAAAATAATATAATTCTCTTGAGGAAATAATTTTGGAAAAAAAAGACATTATAACACAAAGTTCCCTACACTTGGAGGTAATATTTTGATTGATAAAAATTAGAAATCTGTTAAAGGATGATCCATCAACACTTTTGGACAATGGCAATTTTAGAATTGATATTTGAAAATGTACCAAGTGATAAATAAGTGCAGCGGACTGAGTAGGAGCTGCTAACCAAAAGGTCAAGTCCACAACAGAAAGATGAGGCAGTCTTCTGTAAAGATTTATAGCCCTGGAAACCATATTGGATAGTTCTGCTGTGTTCTACGGTGTTGCTCTGAGTCAGAATCAACTTGATGGCAGTGAGTCTGCGCCTTCTATGCTTCATTCATCACATCTTTCTTGTCACCTGTCCCATCTTCCAGTTAGCAGCCTGTGCCTCGAAGATTACTCTTAGTTGTTGTTGTTGTTGTTGTTAAGTACCGTGGAGTCAGTTCCAACTCATAGTGACCCTGCACAGGGTTTCCAAGGCTGTAAATCTTTATGGGAGCAGAAAGCTCATCTTTCTCCTGCAGAATGACTGGTAGTTTTGAACTGCTGAACTTGAGGTTAGCAGCCCGAGTCGTAACCACTAGCATGCCCAAAACCCACACCATTGAGTTAGATTCTGACTCATAGTGACCCTGTATAGGGCTTCTGAGGCCGTAAATCTTTACAGGAGCAGAAAGCCCCATCTTTCTCCCACAGATAAGCTGGTGGGTTTGAACTGCCAACCTTCTGTGCTTAGCACCACCAGGGTTCCTTTTAGTTAGCCTGTGATTGTAAAGTGTCATCAAGTCAGTTCTGACTCATAGTGATCCTGTATAGGGTTTCCCAAAGAGCAGCTGGTGGGTTTGAACCACTGCTCACCTACCAGTTAGCAGTTTATCTGACAGGGCCACACCAGTTCATGAGTCAGATTATTAGTATGAGGTCATCTGACACATCACAAGCTACAGTTCAGCTTTCATCTGTCTCTGTGTAGGGAATGCAAGGGAAAATGGAACCATAAAGGAACATGTGACCAAAAGATGAATAATCCATCATGCAAAGTCTTTAGAGATAGAAAGATGAAAATTCATAGTCACTGCCTGCCCTCCAGAGATTCACAATTTAACCCCATCCAGCTCCTACTATGTACCAACTATCCTCAGATCACTCCACCTTTCCCCTATGACCTTATGGATCCCCTGTGATAGGATATACTCTGAAGTAACTCAGAATTATATCCCTAGATTCCCTAAAAAGCCTACAGGACTACTTTGTTCTTCCAGATGGATTTTCTAGAAACAAGGATTTCTTCCTATTGCTAACTATGCCTGGCTCTTTCTTACACTCAGTCAATTCTTCTGAACTACAATCCCCATCTTCCTCTCTCAGATCTTGTCCCCTCTTTTGCACTCCATCTCAAACCCTAACACACAATGAACTGCACCCTATCTGGATTGTGCCATGCTCCCGTTTGACTTTAATTAGCCATGCCTTCCACGGGGCTGCCATTTCATACCATTGCCATCTAACCACTCCTGGAGATCCTTGTCAACCAAAAGCGAGAGCAGCTTATAAAATAATTAATATCAACTAGGAGCACTGTTGGCACTGTAGGATAAGCACTGGACTACTTAACCACCAGCCACTCCTAGGAGAAAGATGAGGTTTCTGCGCCTGTAAGGATTTACAGCTTCAGAAACTCTATACAGGGTTGTTATAAGTTGAAATCTACTTTACAACACTTAACAGCCACCTTCCAAGTTCTACATAGATTCCCGGTTTCTCCTTGACCATCTTGCAGTGATGGACCTTAACAGGGTATTTAATTATAGTCTTTAACCAAAACTAAAAATGGCCATCGAATTGATTCCCAAAGCCAAATTCATGAGAATTTTAAGAATCTCTATTGTCTTCTTCAAAAGATCCTTGGCATCTAATGGTCCAGCTGAAAAGAGTTCACACTCAATGCTGGACTCAAAAGTCCTGGGCTAAATTCCAGGACCTAATGAAGGCATTGGAATCTCCCAACACTACTTATCTAAAGACTAAACACATTCTCGTATGAAGTAGCTGTCAAAAACATCTGTTTCTTCTTTGATCTTGAAGGACAATGAGGACAGGATCTTGGCTGACATCTTAAAATTGGCATAGAACGATTTCCAAGGTCCAAGATTTGTAAGATATGCCTTTGATGAAGCACAATGTACAAGGTTCAAAGGAGAATGCCACACAGGGATTAGAACAGAATTTTTCCAGGACATAATCTGGGTCAAGAGTCTGAGGTACTCTTTTATCCAGTAATCTACCTGACCTTCCCACCACCTGGATCTCTGTTCTTCTGTGTTTACCTTTTTTCACATTTTAATTGTTTTGATCATAGACTAGGACCATCAAGAGAGGAACACAGAAATAGAATGCGGGACCTTATCCAGAGAAGCAGCAGCGCCAGAGATGGAGGCAGAGATGGGGGCATAGAGAGGGGGAGCGGCTGAGTACTCTAGATTCATCAACTAAGAAGAGAAGGACTAAGAACTGGTGGCCAGGAGCAGACTTGCAGAATGTGCCCTTTGCAGATGTAATTTATTATATATGCCTGAGTGGGTTTTTTTGTTTGTGTGTTTTT